TTCTTTCTTAGCACTGTTCTATCTAAGCACCATTCTTTCTTAGCACTGTTCTATCTAAGCACCATTCTTTCTTAGCACTGTTCTATCTAAGCACCATTCTTTCTTAGCACTGTTCTATCTGAGCACCATTCTTTCTTAGCACTGTTCTATCTGAGCACCATTCTTTCTTAGCGCAGTTCTATCTGAGCACCATTCTTTCTTAGCGCAGTTCTATCTGAGCACCATTCTTTCTTAGCACTGTTCTATTTGAGCACCATTCTTTCTAAGCGCTGTTCTATCTGAGCACCACTCTTTCTAAGCGCTGTTCTATCTAAGCACCATTCTTTTTTAGCGCAGTTCTATCTGAGCACCATTCTTTCTCAGCAATGTTCTATCTGAGCACCATTCTTTCTTAGCACTGTTCTATCTGAGCACTATTTTGTCCTTCTGTAACAAAAATTACAAATAGGGTGAATATGTAACAGTAAACATCACACACAACTATACTGATGTCTGGTATAGAATTACAACCAATGAAAGCCAAGTAAACAGAAATATGGTTATACTATAATAACACTGTCCATTCATACTGTCAACACTTGAAGTTTAACACTTTGGCCATGTGATGCCAATTATTTGGCAACGTCGTCCGTTACAAACCATTGAGAAGTCGTTAAACCAGCACTGTTGCATTGGCCAGTCCTCGACAAGCCTAGTTAATAGCAATAGTTCTGTTTGGGCCAGTGAACGTCTTTAGGAGGGTCAGGTATGATTATAGTCAGTCAGTCCACAGATTTTCCCCACTGCATGTCAAACCATTCAGCCTGTAAGTGCTCTGATCCATTCATAAGTAAATACCGCGGCATCTAGCAGCTGACACCAATACTGTGTCAGTTTCTTATTCTTTGGCTTTCTGCATAGTTCTCTAGTCTGGCCGCACCACTTTGAACAAGCTGTTTTTGCAGTCTGGTCATGCTTGCGGATTCACAGTCATCAATTGGTTGCGGCGTCCGCGGCTAAGGCGTTGCGAGTCCGACTCGTAATCCAACCTACCGCGATCGAAACCCACTGCAGGCTGCGTGGATTTTTATCGTGGTATGGGACGTCGCAGGTCGACCCAGCCTCAAATGGGTACCAGGATGGGCTGTCCTGGGAAAGTAAAGACGGCCAGCGTAATGCTGTCCACATTACCCACCTAGTGCCGTTGGTCTGTAAACATATGGGTGCTCTCCCCATATGCCCGATGCGCCTAAGGGCGTGTAAAGGGATCTTTACTTTTTTTTACTTTTTAAAACCAGCATGTACGGGAAAGGTCAGTGAGAAAACAAAACTAGATTGTTTAGTCATCACGACATCCTTCACCTTCAGCTTTTAGAGGTCCCCTACCGGCAAGATCTTGATATGTAAAGGCCCCTTTTCCACACCTTTAGGCGTATTAGGAATATAAGGCTAGGCCTATATTTTTATAGACCAATCAGCACTTAGTGGTTGATGTGGTCAGCATCGCCACCTTGACTTCCCAAGACTGCACCTGGTGGTACCCACTTAAGGCTATGTTGACCTGAACTTCAAGGTAATTTAAAAAAAAAAAAAAAAAAAAAAACAAGTTCGGCTCCGTTAGGACACGAACTCACGACCTTCTTATCTGCAGGCAGGCATCTAGCCGCCAACAAACACCACAGCGACTCCCATTATGATATGAGTCGCCACTTTTTTTTTTTTACCCTGAGGGAATGTTTCAAGTCCATTTGTGTTTCCTGATTACGTCCTTTTATTTACTTCTTTTTAAAATGTTTAAAATAAATACAAATACAGTCTTTTTTTTAAAAACAATTTTTTCTTCACTTTCACCAGCTGTAAATTCCGGTGTGGAAAGTTCTGGGTGTTCATCCACTTCTAGACTTCAGCCTTGTTCCAGAACTTGAGTTTTGTGTGCAAACTCAATTTAAGGATCTGGTTCATTTATGTGCAAACTGTTGGTTCCTTGTGTCTCAGGCAGATGCACTCTGACTTTGAAGGAGGCCCCTAATTAGTTCTCTTACAACATGCTTGTTAAGGAGGTGGTGGGTGTATCCCCCCTCCCCTCCCCCCTTCCCCACAATCGGGTCTCTGAGCGCACACACAGATTTTTAAATTTATTAATGACCTATGTAAAATTGTTGTTGATTTAAATTGTTTTTTCTAAAGGAATACCTGTTCTAAGCCTTTTCTATAAGCATTTCAGGAGCAAACGGTTTAAGGAATTAAAAACTGCCGGCTTCTGTTGTTTTAACACAAACATCTCCCTTAAAAATCTTTCTTTAGACACATGAAGATATGAATGTTGAATTAGGGATCGACATGACAGCACTTGAGACACTTCCACAAGTGCTCAGTCCCCTATCTTCAGCAAGCGAAGAGTTCCAATTCCAATTGGACCAGAAACCGTCTAATTGTATATCCGTCTCATTCTTCCCCTGAGTGTTGAGTGTCGGCCACAGGAAGATAAGTGAAGCAATATGTAGAATAAAGTACCTCCTACAGAATCAACATATTAGACAATAAAATATGTAAACATATTTGCACAAATTTACAAGATAGAAAACTAAAACCACTTCATAACAGGTAAGAACCTGAAAATAGCATAAAAAGAACTGTCTTAAACCTGTCACTTGGATAAACAAGTGAATACAAGACCTCTTTCTAAAAACTTGTATCTTCAGTAGAATGCATGCTTAAAAAACAGAAAATAAAACAGTCAAGGACTGTGACTAAAACATTTACTTGTTCGAGTCACACGATACTTCTAAAACAGGCTCAAGGTCAAAAGAGTCAACTTCACTGGACTGGGTTTTATCCCAGGTAGCCAAAGCTCTGCCTCAGCCAGCAGAATGGCAAGCACTCTGCCTAGATTAAGTTCACCCAGGGGTCATCATGTTAAAAATACAGATCATCACAGGCCAGAAGCCGGAGCCCCAGTGTAGAATGATCATTAATACAATACAACTGACAGGCCTCTTGCTAGGCCACCAGTTGAATAGCCCTGGTCCAGAATGTTCCACAGCTCCAGCGAGGCTACTCAGGAATCTCCGTTGAAATATTCACTTGTCAATAAACGATACAGTCAGTGAAATGAGCTTACAGCCTTAACAGTATGAGGCTGAGGGCTCAACCACTGAGCCACAAAGACTCCCCCTACTCACAAAACCTCAACACTGGCATATAGTGATTTGAGGAAACTTACAGTAAAATAGATTTATGTTAACAATGATCATTACAAAAGTAAAGAATTAATGCATTCATGTCATTTAAAAGAAAAGGTAAAAAAAAATACACAATCACACTTCCTCCTTTTCAGCGAGTAAAATAACAACTATGAGAGCACAATATACAACACTAATTTTGTGCCAAGTAAATATGATGGGATTTTTAACATGGTATTAACTCTTTATATACTAAAATATCTACTATGTGTGACTGGATATTACCCAAGTGCACTAAGCAACATGTTGTGGGTGTACATCTTAGTCAGCCAGGGCCTAGCCACCAGCAGGGTCTCCCGAGCTGGACAGGTCAAAGGATGGAGAATCAGGCAAAGAGAGAGACACCATGGTCCTCCAGGTTTAGGCTCGGAGTGTGGGGGCCGATGCCACCATCTTTGTCAAACTTCACGTGCATCACCAAACAGATTTTTAAGCCTCAAATATTCGGCTTGATGCTGGAGAGATGGTACACAGGCAGACCTACAAACATTCGGAGTCCCCAAGTGAAAAGAGGAAGCCAATCAGAGAGATGAATGGAGGCGAGTGATATCTTTTGAAGGCCTTGAATACGAGGTAGAAGGCCATAGCAAGAAAATGTTCACTAAAGATGGCAAACTGGATACAGAAATGAACATCTGATATAGTGAAGCAAATCAAGTAATAAGTAAGCTAGCAACCATGGAAATGAGATGGTGGAGGAGTCTGCACAAAAACCAATCTAAATGACACATAAAGGCAGCAAATAAAATCATTTACCCACTTAGAGAGACTGCCTTGCGATGCTAATATATATATATAAAGCATACAAAAACAGCAGAGATGGTTGAAAAGCACAAGGTAGACCAATAAAAAGATGGAAAGATAACAACAGACGAACTCTACAACAGTAGGATTAGTCTATGCTCGAGGCAGCCAGGATACCAAGAACCAGAAACTGGCATCATCCTCAACATCTGAAGTGGTAAAAGAGGAAGTGAAGAAAAAGAAGAAGATACTAAAGCCCTCTAACAACACATTTGTCTCCTACAAAAGATGTGTATCTGGCCCCGGTGACATAAGTACATCTGTGAATTCACTGTTCTCATTACAGCCCCATTCCAGCTACAAATATAACCTTGTACCCCACCAGGACATCACACAAGCGATAAACACCCGGGGACACAAAGTGCCACCATGCGGATAAGGATCACCCGTAAGGAGGTCCAGGAAACCCCGTTCAGCCATTAGGTCATATTTCAGGCCCGGCTACATATAGGGCTCCGGTAAAAGCCAGGGTGGGGCTTCATAATAGCTAAAAATTGCATCACGCAAAGGGATGATGAGATATAATAGAGTGTAAACCTTCTGTACAGTTAACAACACATGTGACTGGAAAGAAAGATCACAAATTTATAGACATAAATATTGGGAAAACTCATACAGCATTCATAACCACGATTATGTATACACATAAGTAAAAGCTGCTGGATTCCACCCACAATACTGAAAAAACTGTAAAGGATAGAATCGAATGGATGAACAGACGGCAACCCTATCTTACATGTGAACTGAAAAACAATGAAAGGAGATGATAATGCTTGGATTATCTTTTTTTTCCTGCTTCCTTTCTTCTGTATTGGTTGATAAATAAAGTAAAGAACCCTTCCCACGCCTTCAGGCATATTGGGCATATAGGGCTAGATCTATATTTTACAGACCAATCGGCACTTGGTGGGTGGTGTGGTCAGAATCACACCAACTTCTGTTTTAGCTTATGTGTATTTGTTGTGGCCTCAAACTTCAGTAGCCGTGGTTTTGTATTTGATTACCCACTCCATTTTCACTTGCCACAAACTGACTCCAACTTGACCCACCATCATCAGGTGGGCCTGTTTTATTCCCATCGTCTGGCCCTACTTCCGTGTCAGTATACTCTTCTGTGGAATCACTGTCCCACTGACTGGCCTTTCCCTCAGCTTTCTCATCATCACTTTCTATGTCGTTCTGGTAATCATAGTCTTCAAATTCGTTGACTTCTTCTTTGACCTCTGATGGGTCGATTTCCTCTATACTTCCCTCCCAGGTGTCCCCTTTGGTTCTGTGATGTTTCATATGCTGGGAAATGCCTGATCTTTTCAGCAACTTCTGGCAGAGTTTACATCTAAAATACGCAACATTCTGGGAATTGACATCGACTTCCTTGTTAGAGTGCAGGCGGTCAATATGTTTGCGCAGCAAAATCCGCCGGGTGAAAGATCGCTGGCACACATAACACACATGAGGGCGCAGCAGATCGTGTTGGGACTTGGTGTGGCGGGTTAGGGAACCCTTTTCTGTGAATGCCATGCCACATACCTCGCACCTGTGGTTTTTGATTCCTGTGTGGGAGAGCTGAAAGGAAAAAAAAAACATATTTAAAATGGTTAAACAATGCAATGAACAAATTACACATGTGAAATAATCAAATGGTTAAACAATGCAATGAACAAATGACACATGTGAAATAATTAAATGGTTAAACAATGCAATGAACAAATTACACATGTGAAATAATCAAATGGTTAAACAATGCAATGAACAAATGACACATGTGAAATAATTTAATGGTTAAACAATGCAATGAACAAATTACACATGTGAATTAATTAAATGGAAACAAACTTAAAGAATAGAAATGAAATGAAAGTTTGGACATATGTCAGGACTGCCACAACACAGCGCATCAAAGACAGCCCTGCCACTTAGAGACAATAGAAGCATAGCTAGAGACATCCACACAAGCGATGAATGGATGGAATATCTGAGACGTGGAATACCAGCATTTATTATTAAAAACATTTGTAAAACTGCGCAAGCACACATTCACAGAAAGAGAGAGGAGAAAGAGAGAGAGAGAGAGAGAGAGAGAGAGAGAGAGAGAGAAAGATTCACATGTCTTTAAAAACCTGAACCTGAAAGGCAGAGGAAAGTCTAGAGAAAAAAAAAAAGAAGAAATAATTATTCATACATTGTATAAGGTACACTTTGTCTTATGTGTATGCACTCTATGTTTCTACACACATCTGTTTATAATAATCTGAACTAATTCTATAGATGAGACTATCCTCCATCTTATATATATATATATATATATACATACATAAAACACACACACACACACACATATATATATATATATATATATATATATATATATATATATATATATATATATATATATATATATATATATATATATATATGTATATATATATATATGTATATATGTGTGTGTGAAATATACATATATGTGTGTGTATATATATATATATATATATATATATATATATATATATATATATATATATATATATATATATATATATATATATATATATATACAGCCTTGGCTCCCAGGTTTTACCAGTCTAGAAAAGGTACCAGCTAATATCCTGGGAAAAGCTGTGTGGGTTCCGGGACACCCATTTTGAGGTACACACTCACAAAGAAAGAACAGACTCCCTTTCTCCCCACAAGCATGTCGTCAAAGTCGACTAATTGGGGATGTTTTCTTCAAAGTTGGAGCGCATCTGTCTAAGAGGTGAGGAACCAACAGTCTGTGTACAAATAAACCAGATCTGTGTGCAAGCAAAACTCAAGTTCTGCACCAAGACCAAAGTCCAGAAGTGTATGAACAACCAGAACTTCCAATTGAGTTTATAGCTGTTGAGCGCTAAGAAGAAGAAGAAAAAGAAGATATCCTGGGAATGGGCTGAGAAGTAAGGCAGCTGTTGCGATCCTGACCCCATCACCCACTGAGTACAAACTAATCTATAAAAAAAATATGAGCCTAGCACCAAATTGCTACTTATCATCATCATCATCTAGTAATACTGCGTGTTACTGGACACCAACTGCTGTTGACTGTCTGATCAGCTCCCTCTATCTTTGACGGTCAGATGTGATGGACTTCACGGTTGCATGTTTAGGCATGTGCAGTCAGTCAAGTTCTATATTCAGGTCTCTCTTAGTCTGCCTTTTCTCCTCTTCCCTTATACTGAGCCCTGCAGTATGTTTTTGAGAGGCTCTTAGATCTTATTGCATGTCTGTATCATTCCATTTTCCGCCTTTTCACTGCAGTGCCAATGGCATTTTCCATATTCCAGATGCTATACTGGCATGATAAGGGTACCATTTATATGTGTATATTTATATTTTTACATAGGAAAGAACGCGGACAGACGTACTCTCTAAAACGGTATGGACTTTAATTATACTAATCCCTGTGTTCCAGGGAACCATTGTGGGAGAAAACAAGAACAGACCACTGCCTCCCTAACAAACATACTGTAGGCGTAGACTAGTTCAGGGTTTCCTAAGAAGTCAGAGTGCATCTGCCTGAGACATGAGGAACCAACAGTCTGCACATAAACAAGCCAAATCTGTGAAATGGATGTGCATGCAAAACTCAAGTTCTGGAACAAGACTACAGTCCAGGAGCCGACAAATAACCACAACTTTTCACCAGAGTTTACAGCCGATCAACGCTAGGAAAAAGAAGCAGAAGAAGAAAAAGAAGAAGAAGAGAAGATCTATTACACACCTACTACTAAAAAAGACTACCAGATGTCTTAACTGACCAGCCTAGCTTGTCGCCCCATGATGCCCTGACTTACCACATGTCTAGTTAAGTTTTCCCTCCTCTTAAACTGCTTGCCACACTCCTCACACTTGATCTCCTTGTTGGAGGCGTGTATGGTCTCCTCATGTTTGAGAAGTAACACACGTGTCGCAAAGGATTTGGGACAGAAATTGCAGGAAAATGCTTTAATAGTCTGGTGGCACTTCTGTGAACAATAAAAGATGGATATGACTGATCGGTGAAAGATCATCATTGTTCTATCTTTCCAGATGACACAAGATGCTGTGCTTTAGGGGTAGGTGATCATACATCCCGTTTTCACCCAGACGGTCCTGTTTTTTGTTTTTTTTTAAATGTTTTTCCTGGCCCTCATGTCGGTTAATAAACAAACAAAAAAGTCCCATATTAAACACATCAAGGAAACAGCTCATGAATAGAACACAGACCTCATACTTAGAAATATATTTGCAGACCTTAGCAGATTTACTAGTTTTAGATACTTTTAACGCTTGAAATGCTTTGATGGAAATGTTCACTGCAGCATTTATGTATGGTCAGTGCAGTTAAAAACAGCATACTGAAAGTTTTTATTTCTGAATGACAATGGAGGGAATTTCAATACCACTGATGAGTGAGTAATTAACCTTTTCATCATGTAACCTGGGGGGTGGGGAAGTGGTGGGGTGGGGGAGGGGAAGTGGTGGGGTGGGGGAGGGGAAGTGGGGGGGGGGGGAGGGTGTTAAACTGACTTGGGATTTTACATTTTCAGCTCAAGATATTAAAGCAATGTTCTATTTTCAGCTCAAGATATTAAATCAATTATCGTTTTTAGCCCAAAATATTAATATCCTGTTTTCAGTTCAAGATATTACAGCAAGGTCCTGTTTTCAGATCAAGATATTAAAGCAAGGTCCTGTTTTGAGCTCACAATATTAAAGTAATTTACTGTTTTCAGCTCAAGACACTAGTCACCCTATATGGGAAGGACTAGGAACCACAACCCATGCTAAGCCTCAGGAGAGGAACAGAATTTCACCTCCAACAGTTATCTTTTATACAGCGCTAACCCTGGGCAGCACTGTCAAGACCATATGTTGCCTACACAGCATAATACCTTTCTTGGCCTGCCTCATTCAATTATACACTGCCGTAAAATGAGTTGTGTGCCTTTTTTTCTTCACGCCTGTTGACAAGTTTCTCCAATTTCAAATTCGTATGTATTCTGAGTTTGCTTTTCCAAGCCACTGGTTGTACCGTCTACCTGTGTAGTATTGTCTTTTCTATGTATGTGCTGAAGAAGGCTCCATAGCTGCAATGTTCACATTCTGTTTGTGTTTGTTATTTGGTGAAGCTTGCTGATATAGTTTTCGTTGATGTTCAGACCACGTAGGAGGATGTCTATGCTTTCAGGACAGCTATTCAACCGATTCTTCTCAATGTTCAGACCACGTAGAAGGATGTCTATGCTTTCAGGGATCATATTTGAACTAAGTGACATTGGGCTCTCTGTGGGTTTGACCCCTTAACCTGTTTCATAGACCCTGTAGTCTTGACTTCCGGTCAAAATGGACGCCAGGCACGGTCACTGTTTCACGTATGCTGGTATTTAAGGCCTCGGACATTCCATCTATCCATCACTTGTGTGGTCAACCTCTAACTCTGTTTCCATTATTTCTAAGTGACAGGGCTCTCTGTGGTGCCCTGTCTAGCTGTAGTCTTGACTTCCGGTCAAAATGGACGCCAGGCACGGTCACTGTTTCACGTAGAGGCAAATGTTTTGCTTCTGCCAGATGGTGGCCGTTGCATTTTTGATCCATTTATAGACTGAAAGGATAAAGTTTCGTCGCGTCAGCTACTGAGTTGAGTGCATGGTGCAACCCTGTGAGCTGCGGATTTCATTTGGAATGTTTTTCGACTGTGACCAACGTGGTGTTGTGAACTGTAGATTCAGGAACGGTGCATGGCCTGTCGTCGCAGTATTGGTGGTGCCCTTATGTGATTAATATTTATTGTGTGTGCAACTGCTGATCTGTTGGTAACTTCTGCTACAGTCGATGATGAACTGCATTTCTAATGTCAAACTGTTTGTGTTAGCACTTCTGATAGCTACCGTATGCTTTTAATGTGTGTGTGTCTTAGTGCATATGCTGAGACAGCAGTCTGTCAGTCTCTACCCAAGGGACTGTGACAAACATTCTGTGTGTTTTTCGTTGGCACAGGAGCGGAGCAACTATGGGTGACCCGTTTGCAATGGAGCTGAAACTAAAATTACCAAGATTACCAAGTCTTGATACATGTCCAAACCATTTGATTTTTCCCTTGATGTAATTTAGTAAATGGTCCCATCTGAACTTGTTTCTTGATATCATCATTTCTGATTACATCTCTGGCAGTTACATTTAGATTTTATCGTAGACATTTCATTTCTATTGTTTGGATTTTTCTTTATTTTTTTTTTCCCTTTTGTTGTTAATGTCCTCATCTGGCACTGATAACACAAAGTTGGCTTGAAAACAAAAATACTGATAAATCAGGAATCATTACAAGCAAATGGGCACTTACTTCATGCAGTATCATGTGCCGCTCCTCGGCAAAGAACTTCCCACACAGTTTACACTTCCAGCTGACCTCGGTGTGTGTCAGCTGTGTGTGCTCGCCCAGCGTGTCCGTGTCCGTAAACACCAGCCCACACATCAGGCAGGGGTAGCCTCCGATATGTTTGGCATGGATTTTGGCATGCTTCTCCAAGCTGCACTTCTGGGTGAATGACTGGTTGCATAGAGCACACCTGTATGGTTTCTCACCTGTACACAGAGACAAACATACATGTATGAACTTTTTATGAGTACACGGAAAGATATTAAAATGTATGAAATTTTCACCAGTACACAGAAAGATATAAAAATGTATGAACTTTTCACCAGTACACAGATATAAAAATGTATGAACTTTTCACCAGTACACAGAAAGATATAAAAATGTATGAACTTTTCACCAATGCACAGAAAGATATAAAAAATGTATGAAATTTTCACCAGTACACAGAAAGATATAAAAATGTATGACATTTTCACCAGTACACAGAAAGATATAAAAATGTATGACATTTTCACCAGTACATAGATATACAAATGTATGAACTTTTCACCAGTACACAGAAAGATATAAAAATATATGAACTTTTCACCAGTGCACAGAAAGATATAAAAAATATATGAAATTTTCACCAGTACATGGAAAGATATAAAAATTTTTGAAATTTTCACCAGTACACAGAAAAATATGAAAATGTTATGAAATTTTTACCAGTACACAGAAAAATATAAAAATGTATGAAATTTTCACCAGTATACAGAGAGAAGCACAAATATATAAACATTTTCCCCAGTATACAGAAAATAGCAGACGTTTTCATCAGCATCATCATAGAGTGAAGTTTCTGTCGCCTGTAACCCGCTGCTCTTGTTAACTCTATGAGTCCCAAGGAACGCATCATACGTTCCTACCTAGAAGCCCAATGAACGCACGATGCGCCGATTTTATTACTTTCTTTACTACCCCCCTGGGCCTGTGATGCTAAACCCCCTGGGACTCAAAGAGTTAAGTCTTTTAGGACAGCCACAGTTAGTGGTGTTGTTGTTAAGACAGTTCCAAGCCTTGTTTGTGAAAACAGCAGCAGAACCTTATGAAAGGGAACTGCATCCTTCAAAGGAGTGAAGAACAGAGCCCATCAACTAAAGATTAGTAGTCCCCGAACTGCAGGGGGTCAGTCTGTAGTCCTGGAGAAGGAGGGTTTAAGTGTCTAGTCCTGAACTGTAGGGGGTCAGCCTGGAGAAGGAGGGTTTGAGTGTCTAGTCCTGAACTGTAGGAGGTCAGCCTGGAGAAGGAGGGTTTGAGTGTCTAGTCCCGAACTGCAGGGGGTCAGCTTGTAGTCCTGGAGAAGGAGGGTTTGAGTGTCTAGTCCTGAACTGCAGGGGGTCAGCCTGGAGAAGGAGGGTTTGAGTGTCTAGTCCTGAACTGTAGGGGGTCAGCTTGTAGTCCTGGAGAAGGAGGGTTTGAGTGTCTAGTCCTGAACTGCAGGGGGTCAGCTTGTAGTCCTGGAGAAGGAGGGTTTGAGTGTCTAGTCCTGAACTGTAGGGGGTCAGCCTGTAGTCCTGGAGAAGGAGGGTTTGAGTGTCTAGTCCTGAACTGCAGGGGGTCAGCCTGGAGAAGGAGGGTTTGAGTGTCTAGTCCTGAACTGCAGGGGGTCAGCCTGGAGAAGGAGGGTTTGAGTGTCTAGTCCTGAACTGTAGGGGTCAGCCTGTAGTCCTGGAGAAGGAGGGTTTGAGTGTCTAGTCCTGAACTGCAGGGGGTCAGCTTGTAGTCCTGGAGAAGGAGGGTTTGAGTGTCTAGTCCCGAACTGCAGGGGTCAGCCTGGAGAAGGAGGGTTTGAGTGTCTAGTCCTCAACTGCAGGGGTCAGCTTGTAGTCCTGGAGAAGGAGGGTTTGAGTGTCTAGTCCTGAACTGCAGGGGGTCAGCCTGGAGAAGGAGGGTTTGAGTGTCTAGTCCTCAACTGCAGGGGTCAGCTTGTAGTCCTGGAGAAGGAGGGTTTGAGTGTCTAGTCCTGAACTGCAGGGGGTCAGCTTGTAGTCCTGGAGAAGGAGGGTTTGAGTGTCTAGTCCTGAACTGTAGGGGATCAGCCTGTAGTCCTGGAGAAGGAGGGTTTGAGTGTCTAGTCCTGAACTGCAGGGGGTCAGCCTGGAGAAGGAGGGTTTGAGTGTCTAGTCCCGAACTGCAGGGGGTCAGCCTGGAGAAGGAGGGTTTGAGTGTCTAGTCCTGAACTGCAGGGGGTCAGCCTGGAGAAGGAGGGTTTGAGTGTCTAGTCCTGAACTGCAGGGGGTCAGCTTGTAGTCCTGGAGAAGGAGGGTTTGAGTATTTGATGATCACCAGCGAAAAGGGAGTTAAGAAAGTTTACCATTATACATGCAAGTTTATGTTCAACAGTGACCCCTACCACTAGGCATATAGAAAAACTTGACATCAACTTGGCTTTTAAAAAAAAGCTGTTTTGCTAAAAGCAAAACTCCAACTCAATGCTTTTTTCAGTTAATGTATTCATATTTTGACCTTCTAAATATTGGGGCAGGTGCAAAAAACAGATAATAACACTATGTGTCTCGTAAACAAGTCCAAAAACTGATTGGACCCAACCAGAACTTTTGGTTTTAGGACTTCTCGGGGAAACGTGGTTTAAAGAAAAATAATTATAATGTCACATCAGTACTGCTGTGGGAGTCGCCATGGCATAGCGGCTAGACGTTCGCGTGCTGATCGGAAGGTCGTGGGTTCGCTCCCTGGTGAAGCCGGACTTTTTTCAAAAATAGCCTTGACTCCCAGGTCGACCTAGCTTTGAGTGGGTACCAGGTGCAGTCCTGGGAAGTAAAGGCGACTGGCGTGATGCTGACCACATCACCCATCTTGTGCCGATTGGTCTATAAAAATATAGTTCTAGCCCTATATGCCCTATACGCCTAAAGGCATGGAAAAGGGACCTTTACTTACTCAGTACTGCTGTTTGGAGCAGAAACATGGAGAACAACTAAAGCAATTACAAATAAACTATAAACATTCATTATCTGGTGCCTGCACAGAATAGAAGAAATTCAATGGTATGACATAATCACTAATGTTGAGCTTTGGGAAAGAACTAAAATTTTAGTGAATCAACAGGTGAAGAAAAGATGCCGGCGTTGGATGGGACACACACTGAGAAAACCTGAGAACAATATAACTAGAAGGGCTATACACTGGAACCCACAGGTGCATAGAAATAAAGGCAGATCATAGAACACTTTGAGAAGGGAGCTAGAGTGTGAAGTTGAAAAGATAGAGAGGACACGGAGTGAGCTGCATGCTAAAGCAAAGAATAGGGCACCTTGGCAAGTTGGTTGAGGGCCTATGCTCCATTGGGGGTAAAAGGCAGAAGAAGGGGGCAACAAGATATTTTGTATCAATACAGTAATGAGAACCAGGAGCCACAGTAACTGTGCTTTGAAACTGATACATTCAGGAGACAGGAGTAGCAGAAGGAGAGACAGGAGACGAGAGATAATGAGATCCAGGAGCCACAGTAACTGTGCTTTGAGACTGATACATTCAGCAGACAGGAGTAGCAGAAGGAGAGATAGGAGACGAGAGATAATGAGATCCAGGAGCCACAGTAACTGTGCTTTAAGACTGATACATTCAGCAGACAGGAGTAGCAGAAGGAGAGATAGGAGACGAGAGATAATGAGATCCAGGAGCCACAGTAACTGTGCTTTGAGACTGATACATTCAGCAGACAGGAGTAGCAGAAGGAGAGATAGGAGACGGGAGATAATGAGATCCAGGAGCCACAGTAACTGTGCTTTAAGACTGATACATTCAGCAGACAGGAGTAGCAGAAGGAGAGATAGGAGACGAGAGATAATGAGATCCAGGAGCCACAGTAACTGTGCTTTGAGACTGATACATTCAGCAGACAGGAGTAGCAGAAGGAGAGATAAGAGACGAGAGATAATGAGATCCAGAAGCCACAGTAACTGTGCTTTGAGACTGATACATTCAGCAGACAGGAGTAGCAGAAGGAGAGATAGGAGACGAGAGATAATGAGAGGACAACAGATGAAGGTAAATAAGAAAAGAGCTGGTCAGTGCAGAAAAAGAGGCCAACAAACTAAGGGCTAAAGTTGAATCTAATCAACTATATTGCCCTTAAGAAGGCTAAATGTAGTCACTTCTGTAGTGATACATCCCCGTAAATGCTAATATAATGCAGGCTCTGCAGTGACCCGTTCTTGAAAAGCGTAATTGAATGCCCTTATTTCTATGTGTGCCTGCTCAGCATTTCGGAGGCCTGGAAGTGAATATATTAACTAAATACAACATTGGGTGGGGGGTGGGGTGTTACTTGTAAATCCATTAGCTTTTTAACTTTTTGACCCCCAAGTAACGCATCATACGTCCATAGGTTCCTGCCTAGGGGCCCAATAAATGCAAGATGCGCCGATTGTACATCTCTCTTGACCCCCCCTTGGGCCTCTGATGATAAACCCCCGGGACTCAAAGAGTTAAAAAAAAAAAAAAAAAGGTTATTGCAGAAATTTCCCCATGGGTTCATGACCCATTGTTTGTTTTGTTTTAACATTCACGGAGAAAAAGGGTTAATGTGTCTAAAAATCATTCACTGTTACTTATATGTTATTAGTTGTTGTAGGTGCTTTTGATGGTTGCAATGAGCTGTAAGTAAGTAGTTGTACCCCACCAGGACATCACACAGAGCGATAAACACCAGGTGACACAAAGTGCCACCATGCGGATGAGGATCACCCGTGGAGAGGTCCCAAAAAACCCTGTTCAGCCGTTAGGCCATATTCATGGCCCGGCTATATTTAGGCACAAGCCGAGGTGGGGCTTCAAAATAACAAAATATTGCATCCCACAAGGGGACGACTTTTTTAAAATATGCAATGAGCTGCTTCTTTGTCTTTAAATTCACAAGAATCCCCCACCCGTTAACTCTGTGAGCATGATGTGGCAATGGCTCGTTTCACAGAATTTTAACAATCACATATTGTGTTCTTTCACTGTTCCCATTTGGTCAGAGAATGAGTGAGATCTGGCTTTATGTGTAACTGCTTGAAGTCACTGTGCACTTTGTGTAATAAAAGTTATACCCTTGTAATTGTTCAAAATGTATGCAAAACTTTCTGGGACTCAAAACAGTTAAGCTGGACGTCATTCTCAGGTGACCTGTGGAGACAGGGACAAAAAAGAAAAGAAAACAAGAAAGAAAGAAAGAAGAAGCAACAGTGTCACCACAGGAAGCGGATATTACATTGCTCACCACTGTGAACCCTCTGATGTCTCTTCAAGTCGCTGCTCTTGGGGAACCTGTTGCCACACTCTTCACAGATGAACGGCCGAGTCCCCGTGTGGATGCGGGTGTGAACCACCAGGTGGCTGTGCTTCATGAAGGTGCTGGTGCAGTAAGAACACTGGTAGCTCTTGTCCAGTGGGTGGTCCTTTCTTCGATGTTCCCGGAGAGACACCGGGTCGGTGAAGGGTGCCGCGCATGTAACACAGGCAATCACACCTGGAGTTTAGATCACAAACATTATGAGAGCAGTGCAGATGCTTCATTCGTGAGTCATATTAACCAACTATCACCTAATTGTCCACTAATTACTGTCATCCTGAGGGCTAACAGACTGCTATGGTTTGGGCACATAGACAGAATGGCAGACAACAGAGAGTAAACTCTGGTTGAAAGTTCTAGTTTTCTGTTGACATCTAGACTTTGTTTCCGAACCTGAGTTTGGTGTACAGATGTTTTACAGATCTGCCTTTTTTTTAATGCAGACTGCTGGTTCCTTGCCTCTTATACAGATGCACTGTCACTGTGACTCCAAAAGAAACACCACTAAGAAGTCACCTTAAACAATGATGTTATCCCCCATGTGCTGTAGGTGGGCGAATGAGAATCAGAGGATTTCTGAACACAGCATCTCCTGGGGCCATCAAATCTGAGATCCCCTGTCAGTTTAGTTTAGGCCCATATGAGTCATTGTCCGCAGGGCACGTGTGGCAGGAGATTTGCAAGAGGATCCATAAAAGTAGCAGAGCCTGCTGGCGCCCAAGATAAGGTACAGAGTGCCTCATTATACACATCCCAATGTCTTTAACTTCCTTTCCTGCCTGTGACCAAAATCACCATACATCGGATTAGGATCTTAACATACGTTACTTCAGCTGGCAAGAAAGCATTTAGCCACCGTACTACCCAAATTATTTTATCTCTGACACACTTACGTGGTCTGGATGTGCAGCTGCTGTCTTCTTCATCACCGATGTCCTCGTCTTCGTCTACTGTATCTTCACTCTGAGGGTTGTCCTTTGACAGGTGTTCGCAGGGCTCTGCAGAACCACATGTCAGGCATATTGGTGTTTTCATTCTTTTCTCGATGCCTTTCAGCTCGGTGCGATCAACATGTTTACTCTGTTAGCAAAAACAATGACGAAAACATTTAAAGTCAAAGGTTAGGTTAAAGTCAAAGATTAAATTCAAAGGTTAAAGTCAATTAAATTCAAAGGTTAAAGTCAAATTTTCAAGTCAAGAGGATCGACTTCACTCCACTGTATTTTATCCCACATGGCTTGGTCTCTCTTCGCAGAATGGCTTGCAACCTGTCAAGAGCAACGCACAAAGCCCGAACATTGCAGCTCCAGTGACAAACCCCAGGAGATTTCCTTAAAAACTGCACATATGAACCGAACAAATCCGCTGTTAAATGAATCTGCGAATCTGTCCGATTTTCTTGTTCTTAGCTTTTAGTTCCGATAAGTATCCATTTCCGCTTGTCCATCTTCTCCTGTTCACAAAGAAAGCCCTGAAAAGGACCAGTGTTGTTTAGCATTCTCCTCATATGAGTTCCTGGGCCCCTTTATGAGGAAAACCAGAAAGGACTCGCTCCCCCCTCCCCCACCCTCCTTCCCTAACCAGCATGTAGTAAGTGCCGCGTTAGTGCTGTCGATGGGAGGCTCGCCTTCAAATACAGCTGTGACTCGTGGCAGCCATGGTCGGTGTTCGAAACTGGGCGGTTCCCGGGGTTCACCCAGCCTCTAGGAAAAGGGTACCAGAGTGACACTTTGGGGTAAATGGAGGAACGTCGCTGTAGCTTAGAAGTTACGTGTGAACGGCGACACAGGTGGACAATTTCTTATCAGCTGTCCGTACTGGTGGCAGAGCACTTATGGTTTATAACCACTGTGCTGGTTCACATCTCTCGACTTTACCTTTTTTACCTTTTTAGAGCCAACTAATTAGGGGGGTTTCCTTCTAAGTCAGAGTGAATCTGCCTGAGAGTCAAGGAACCACCAACAGTGTACATACAAAGAAGCCAGATCAGTAAAATGAATGTGCACCCAAAACTTAAGTTTTGGAACAAGATTCAAGTAAAGAAGTGATGGAACAAACAGAACCTCCTGCCGAAGTTTACAGCCCGTGAATGCAAAGAAGCGGAAGAAGAAGAAGAAGAAAAAGAACAACAGAAGAAGTTTAGCACTCATTGGTTTCAACTGATATGGTATACCTTTCTTAACTTCTTGTGACCTTTCCAGTTGTTACTCTCAAACACCTGGCTAGAATACTTTCTTTAACTCCTCCTATAGCTTAGCACAATTTAAACTCCACAGACTATACACTAATTATGTGAAGTAATAACTTCATAGAAAACTTTAAATCAACACATTATTGGTACTGAAAGAGTTAAGGTAAAACATCATTTTTCAGTTGATCTAATGTAACATTTCTGAAAGTAATACACTGATATTTGTCACTGTAGATATTGTCATTGGTCTTGCTAGTTACACTCGCCATCACCATGGGCTGTGAGTCCCAGGCCTCTTTACAGTGCAATATAACACTATTGTCTTGAAAGATGGAATGGTGCTAATCAACCCTGTCATTGGGGAGCTGCCATGGTGTAGTAACTTGAAATGTGCCTGCTGATCTGAAGGTCATAGGTTCAAATCTGCCTAGTGCTGGATTTGTTTCAAACATGACTGACGTTGGTTCCCAGGTTGACCAAGCCTTAAATGGTATCAGTTGGTTCCCAGGTTGACCAAGCCTTAAATGGTATCAGTTGGTTCCCAGGTTGACCAAGCCTTAAATGGTATCAGTTGGTTCCCAGGTTGACCAAGCCTTAAATGGTATCAGTTGGTTCCCAGGTTGACCAAGCCTTAAATGGTATCAGTTGGTTCCCAGGTTGACCAAGCCTTAAATGGTATCAGTTGGTTCCCAGGTTGACCAAGCCTTAAATGGTATCAGTTGGTTCCCAGGTTGACCAAGCCTTAAATGGTATCAGTTGGTTCCCAGGTTGACCAAGCCTTAAATGGTATCAGTTCGTTCCCAGGTTGACCAAGCCTTAAATGGTATCAGTTCGTTCCCAGGTTGACCAAGCCTTAAATGGTATCAGTTGGTTCCCAGGTTGACCAAGCCTTAAATGGTATCAGTTGGTTCCCAGGTTGACCAAGCCTTAAATGGTATCAGTTGGTTCCCAGGTTGACCAAGCCTTAAATGGTATCAGTTGGTTCCCAGGTTGACCAAGCCTTAAATGGTATCAGTTGGTTCCCAGGTTGACCAAGCCTTAAATGGTATCAGTTGGTTCCCAGGTTGACCAAGCCTTAAATGGTATCAGTTGGTTCCCAGGTTGACCAAGCCTTAAATGGTATCAGGTAGAGTCCTGGCATATAAAGGTGGCCAGGGTAATGATAACCACATCGCCCACAGATGGTCGATTGGTAAACAATCATATGCTCAATGCACCACTGCCTGTAAAGGGACCTTCACTTTTTACTTTAATTACTATCACTGTTTTTCACTGTAGTCACTGTCATCATTTTTTTATTGTAATTATTATCACTTTTTCAATGTTTATAACTGATTTTTTTTTAAATGCTGTTTTTTTACTGCAGTTATTGTCGTCATTTTTTTTTCACTGCAGTTTACTGTGCTCATTTTTTCTCTGCAGTTGCTGTCATTGTTTCAGTGTCTGTCACTGTAATTATTTATACTGTTTGTCCAATGCAGTTACTGTCCTATGTCATTGCAGATATTGTTAACTTGCTCAATATGTGTCAGTTCCATGTGGGTTCCAGGTTTCAGTGTGGGAAAAAAAAGAATACGCTGTCTCCCCAAAAAAGCATGTTGTATTAGTCAACTTTACTGGAGGCTTCCTTAGAAGTCAGAGTGCAACTGCCTGTGAGGCCAGGAACAAACAGTCTGAGTATAAATAAGTCAGATCTGAAAAATGGATACGCAAACAACACTCAGGTTCTGAAACATTAAAGTCCGGAGGCGGACAACAACCCAAAACTTTTTGCCAGAGCTTACAGTCTCTGAAAATTTGTCACTGTAATTATCAGTATTGTTTTGTGCCGTAGTTGTGGAATTATTGTTTTTTATTGTAGTTACTGTCACTGTTTCACTATTTGTCATTGTAATTATTTATATGTTTTGTACTTGTGGTTACCGTCCATTTTGCGTTATAGATATTGTCACTGTTGAAATATTTGGTTTCGTAGTTTACTCATACCGTCTTTCATTGTTGTGATTGTCATAATTTTTCACTGTAGTTACATACTGTTTCAATGTTTGCAACTGTAATTATTGATATTGTTTTTAACTGAAGTTTTCAGTTGTCTTTATTTCTCCTTGTATTTATAGTTATTGTCTGTCACTATGACCGTGAATGCTAATTACTACTACTATCCTGTATTTTAATTCTTTCAGCCCCCTAAGATTTCTGCAGCAGACGTCACAGTGGCAATGCCATCAGAATAACTACACTGACGACAAACTAAAAGTGACAGGAAGTGAAGAATGTGGCATATCAGTCATTACAATTAGAATTATGGGCTCTCCTCTGAACTTCTACACCCGCATTATGGCGGCAACAAATATCCTTACGGGGCTCAGTCCTAATAAAAATATGCGAACTTTTGGCGACGAATGAATCGCGGCAAAACTAGGATTACCTGACAATTTCAAGGATATTTGTTCGGCTGCCATAATGCCGGGGTAGAAGTTCGGAGGAGAGTCGAATTATGTATGTATGTTCCTACCTTCAGGTGTCTTAATATGCTGAGCTTATCAAAGAACTCTTCAGAGCACATCCAACATCGATAAACCAAAAACACAACGGATGTCTGGGAGTCCACATAACCTACTGGAATCACTGACTGATCGTCGTGTTCGTCTTCCGTCTGCATTGTGAAGAAACAACAAAGCTGTTTCCTCCTACAGCACAGTGAATAAATTAGTGCTTTTTTAGTTTCTCAATCAAACGCTTCCTGCAAAACTGATTCTGCACTTACGACATTACCCGAATTTGTTTCTAAACTTTAATAATGTGCAGATATGCATGTTAGTTTAACGGTACACCTGACCAGTTAGTTAGGTCCCGTTCTTCACTAACGGAAGATCAAGTATGTTTTCTTTGTTGCAACTAACTACTGGCACTTGAAAACCAGATATATTTAGCTTTAACTGTATGTCTCTGGAGTGCTTCATTTGCCGGTTGGTGGTATAATCCAATTAACTCCAAAGGGAAGACATAGCTCAATAATGAGACTGAAATTAACCAAACATTTAATAATTTTTGTTATCTATCTCCCCGAATCGTCTGCAGAATGCAGACAATGGTCCAGCGGAAGACGAGAAGGACGAAAACAAGTGTGACTCCCGGCACAGAAGAGTGTAGATTGGTTTATAGGTGGTTATCCCCTACGGCCTACGCCCTGTTTTCGGGATTGACACCCTAAGGATGAGAATCCTACATGTACAAATCCAGAAAGCCCATATTTAATCTATGGCACAATTAAACCAAGTTGGGATTCCAGTTGACTAGGGTCACACGGAAGAGTTAAAATGCATGATACCTATTAACAATGGTTTTTGAAAATTTAAAGACTATAGACGGTCGGCTCTGTGGCTAAGTCGACGCGAACGCTTCGTAATGCCAGGATGCCGGGTTCGATCCCAGCAGCGGGCCATGCGCCTTGCGTTGGTTTCGAAAGTTGTATCAAGAAAGCCGACCGTCCAGGGGCAATGGCAAACGACTGAATGTAAATTTGCCTAGAAAAAACTACACAACAGCCAGGGGCTGTCACAACAGCCAGGGGCTGTCACAACAGCCAGGGGCTGTCACAACAGCCAGGGGCTGTCACAACAGCCAGGGGCTGTCACAACAGCCAGGGGCTGTTAGGGGTTGGTTCTGCAACGTCCTGTAAAGGTTACGCAACTAACCTAAGACAATTGACTTCATTGTACCGAGTTTTACCCAGTATGTCTTCCTCTGCAGAACACACAAACAAACACACACTCTCTCTCTCTCGCGCGCTCTCTCTCTCTCTCTCGCTCTCTCTCCCTCTCTCTCTCTCTCTCAAGCATTGAACAAAGCATAAACTCCTTAAATACAGCGACCACCCCCACGCAGAGTTGAGATGAACTGCGTTTAGAACCTACATAATAGCACTCGGGACATTTTCATAAACGCCCCGACTCAATCTTCAGCAGCCAGCGAAGACTTCCAATTTCGACGGTACCCTTAGCAGTCAATTTTCGTCTTTCTTTTCCCCTAAGTGTTACACGTCGACCACATCACCTGATCGTTTGATCACACCCACCCCCTCCCCACCCCCTCTCGCACAACTGTGATAATATAATGTTTCTACGCACTGCTCTAGGCTCTATAATAAACAGCAATGGAGACTGTTCGACAGAAATTAAAAGGAGGATGGCCTTAGCAATGCAAAAATTGAACAGCCTTAAAAGTCTGTGGTTAAGCACCAGCAAGGAGAAAAAAATTAGAATTTTGAGAGCATGCATCTTCCCTGTGGCTACATACGGATGTGAGTCGTGGACTATCTCTCAGTCCTTAAGAAAGAGAATAGGGGCTTTTGAGCTGAAATGCTATAGACAGATTCTCAGAATATCTTGAAGAAGATACCACGAATATATTTATATAATTAAGATTAGTTGCGTATCCTTTACAGGACATTGCAGAACCAACACCAACAGCCCCTGTGTGGTTTCTTTCTAAGCAAATTTACGTCCAGTAGTTTGCCATTGCTACCTGGACGGTCGGCTTTCTGGATATCACTGTCGAAACCAACACAAGCGCGTGGCCCGCAACCGGAATCGAACCCGGCATCCCGGCATTACGAAGCGTTCGCATCGACTTAGCCACAGAGCCGACATATAAATATAGTAACAGATTGGCACTCATTGAAAGAAGTAGAAAGGTAGAATAACACACTAGACAACATAAAAAAAATCTAAAGCTATAGTTACCGTGCCGGGAATGGAACCTGTCACCTTCAGATGGCGTGTGCGCCTCGTTAGATAAACAAGTGCACTAAGAACATGGTTAACTAGGCACCGCCTAGAAGAATGCTTAGAATTCCTTAGACTGCCAAACAGAGAAACCAAAGTGTTTTTAAGATTTGAGGGCTCGAAGACACCTTCTCACAAACATCAGAAAGAGACAGTAAACATGTTTGATTATGTTATAAGAAGGAAAAAAAAACTGGCACATATTGTTACCACTGGAAAGATCTGTCGCAAAAGAGACAGGGAAAGACTAAGCAAGGAGATTCAATATGGCTTTTTTTTTTTCATTGCACGGAGTGGTGTCGACACACGAACTGATACATGCTGGTAACGATCGCAGATTGTGGAGAAACATGATCGCAAAACGCCAAAGCATTTGATGATAATAATGATAATGATGATGATGATGATGACTTTCGTGATAACGGAATATAATAAAGGGAAATAATTAACATAAATAGTGTAGCAACAAAGCAAAAAAATAATCTCCCTTTTTTACGATCTTCTATTCCGACTAAATAGTCATCATTGTAATCTTCTTCTTCTTCTTCTTCGTCGTCGTCGTCGTCTTCTTCTTCTTCATTTTCTCTTCTTCTTTTTCTCCTCCCCCTTCTCCTCCTCCTTCTTCTTCTTCTTCTTCTTCTTCTTCTTCTTCTTCTTCTTCTTCTTCTTCTTCTTCTTCTTCTTCTTCTTCTTCTTCTTCTTCTTCTTCTTCTTCTTCTTCTTCTTCTTCTTCTTCTTCTTCTTCTTCTTCTTCTTCTTCTTCTTCGTCATCGTCCTTTTATCCCCGATTATCATAATAATCCAGCTTTCTTGTTGAAGATTATCCTTGTTTTTAATGAACTCACTCGCACCACTCAGCCATCCCCATCATATTCACCCATCATATTGACTTCATCGCCCACTGAGTGTCACATACCGCTCGTGTCACGTGCCTGTTTTAAGGATTTCTCCTTAGGAACCAACTTACTTTTTACTTTACTTTTTACTTTTTCCTTCCACGTATGCCGCTAAGCGTTGTGGGGAGATGCAAGTTCTTGTCATAAGCAAGGCGGGCAGCATCTGATGTTTTGAGGCCATGCTTTTGGCAGGTTTCGGAGACCCCGTCAATCCACAGTTTCCTTGGTCTTCCTCTTGCCTTATATCCTGAGCTTCTTTGGTTGAAAATTTGTGATGTTATTTGATCATTTTTCATCCTGGTTAGATGTCCAAACCATTTCATTCTTTGATGTTCTATGTAGTCTAAACATGGCGTAGTTTTGACAGTGTTTCTAATGTCTATATTCTTTATCCTGTCAAGTCTGGTCTTATTAGCTGCTTTTCTTAAATATTTCATTTCACAGGCTTCTATTTTTCTTTCATGGGTCTTGTTGATTGTCCATGCATGTTTGGCACTGGTAGCAGAGTGTTGGAATGAAGATGGTGTTTATCAATTGTCTTTTGGTCTTCATGGTTATATCTGGATGTTTAAGCAGAGGTGATAGTTGGTATGTGACAGCATTTGCTTTCTGTATTCTTGTTTCTATCTCTCTGTCCATTCTTCCATCCTCTGTAAATATACTGCCCAAGTATTTGAACTCTTTGGTTTGCTTGATTTTGGCACTTCCAACATTTATATTCAGTGGCCTGTGTGTTCTGCTGATCTTCATAACTTCTGTTTTTTCTGTACTGATTCTCATATTATGTTGTAAACAGCTGTTGTTGAGAGTAGTCAGATGTTCCTGTAGATCATATTCATTTTGATACAGTATGCTTTGATCATCAGCAAAAAAGTAATTCGTTTATAGCATACACGTCTGGGTTTGCTTCTACAGTGATCTTATCCATGTATGTTATGAAAAGTAATGGTGACAGTACACATCCTTGTCTGACACCAGTTGTGACTTTGAACCATTCAGAAAGACCACTAGATGTTCTTACTGCACTTTCACTTTTTTCATAGAGGGCTCTGATGTTGTCTAATAATTGACCCTGCACTCCGTAATCGTCAAGAATTCTCCACAGCACATCTCTGTCTACACGGTCGAATGCCTTCTCTTGATCTACAAAGACCACGTTCAGCTCTTTATCGTATTCGAGTGTCTTTTCACAGACTTGTCTTAGTGCAAATATGGCATCAGTGCAACCTCGCCCTTTCCTGAAACCGAATTGTGCTTTACTCAGTAGAGGTTCAACCTTTGCTCTTATCCTACCTTCTAAGATCTTTGCATACATTTTCCCCACATGACTTAGTAAAGATATTCCTCTATAAGTTCCACATTCTCTCTTGTTTCCTTTTTTTCTTCCAGATAGGTACTACAACTGATCTTTGCCAATCCACTGGTACCTTTCTCTCTGCCCATGCTCTATTGAAAATTCTCTCCAGCCAGGTGATCATAGTGTCCCCTCCAGCCTGGATGACTTCTGTTGTTATTCCGTCAATACCAGCTGCTTTTTGTGTCTTTTACTTGTTTTGATAACTTTCTCTACTTCATCCCGCAGGATATGTGGTTCTAGATGATCTGGAGCCCTTGAATGGAATTCTGCTGTTTCATGTACTCCCGACGGGTTCAAAAGTTCTTTAAAATATTCCTCCCATCTTTTTTTTAATTTCTTTTTGGCTGAATAATGGTTTTCCATTTTTATCATTTATGACTGATGTTGGATTGAAGCTTTCTTCTCTTAATCGCATCGCTTTCACACTCTTATAAAAGTCTCTTGATGACTCTGTACATAGCTGTGTTAGGTGTTCACCATACTTTTTCCATGATTCCTCTTTGGATTTCTTTATTGTTCTCTTGGTGTCTCTTCGAGTTAGTCTGTACCTAATGTAATCCTTTTCGTCTTTTGTTTTTAACCATATTTGAAATATCTTCTTTTTATTTGACACTGCTTCTTT